TTATGTATCAATATAGGAATTCATGACGCATATTCCATATTAAAACTTCGGATATCAAAATAAATATAGCAACATTGTAACTTGCTATAGTAATAAAAACATGAGTTGTAATTTTTGCGCATTGATTCTAAACAGAATCTAATGAATTCAATTTCATATTCTTTTGCACTAAAAATATAGAATAGGTCATATGTCTACCTGAAATGAAATTAACTATGTAAAAAACTGTACAATTTGTTACTTTCTTGTGGATCGATATAATTTGTCAATATTGTGCCTTTCAGCCTCTGTGAATCCTAAAATGCTTTCGATAGCATTTAAATGACCCTGATGATTCTCTTTGTCAGTTAGGAAATAATAGATAGCTGATTTTAGGAACTGCAGTGTGATCTCTGGATCTAGTGTGCCTTGTTGACTTTTGGCTTCTATAATGCGCCGATACATTACCTGTTTAAGAAAGTATGCTTGTTAGTGATTTATTCGGGATATATTATATACATTTACCCTTCATGTAGTGCATTTTCGATTATGTACATGCTGCAGCAGTGAATTTTTCAAAAAATCAAACCTTGGTATAATAATAATAATATGTATATTAACAAGTCTATGTGAAAAACAGAATATATATGTATACAGTAGAACCCACCATATTCAAACTAATTACAAAGTGAAAATACTTGAATCAGGAAGACCAAGACATTTGGCACTTATTTTTTTCGTTTCATATTTTTCTAATTACTAAATTATGTAAAATTTTCATCACAAATAATTGTACAGAACTGTTTCATTCTTTTTATGCTTTAAATTGCCAAAGCCCTTTTGCAAGTGATATGAATTACACAAAAATAATATTGTATGTAAACACTACATTTAAGAAAGAAGAAAACATCTGTTATTAGCAGATATTCTGTGTAAATAATAAAATGTTTGAATGTGAGGATTCTACAGTACTTATTTTCAATACAGATATGTAAAAATTAACGTAAGAGTAGTTTATTCATCATTTTTTGTTAGATTCAATGTTAAATAATATTGTCTCGGATGAAAAAGTGCGAAAGCATTCTTAAAAATGTGTAAACTTACATTGACTAAAGGATAATAAGAGGCTGTTTCTTTCAAGTGCATAGGATAGTCTCCCCCACACTTACTAATAATGCATGCAAAACCAACTATAATTGTGCTTGCTAATCAGCATGCAATTGCTGTGGCAAAGCATTTCTTTAATAAATGCTTTTTTGGAAAATATCTTTATAATGTAATTTATTGATGGTAACACGTAGATCCAATTCCTGCCATAGTAGATTCTAGATTCAGTATCTAAGAGATATTTTAAAGAATGTGGCAAGTTATTCTCTTTAATGATGATTAAAATGTTTGTTCGAAAGTAACACTAACATTTATGTTTAATATAAATTATATGATTAAAGTCTCTTCGTAATAGAAAGATAATATTAAAAAAAAAGAGATTAAATTCATTTTCATAACGGATGATTCAAACAAATGATATTTCTGACAGTTTTCAAAATAGTTAATATGCTATAATAACATATACTAACTAAAATTGTTGCAAATTCTGTTCCTTTAACAAAGAGCAAATGTTCATGCTCATGGAAGCTATTTATCAATCTATATACACATTTATTTATCATCAATGTTA